CTGGGCACCACTGAAAAGAGTCTGGCCCCGTCCTCCTGACACCCACCCTTCAGATATTTATCAGCATTTATAAGGTCCCCTCGCAGCCTTCTCTTCAGGCTGAACAAGCCCAGCTCCCTCAGCCTCTCCTCGTAGGAGAGATGCTCCAGTCCCCTCACCATCCTCGTAGCCCTCCGCTGGACTCTCTCCAGTAGCTCCTCATCTTTCTTGAACTGGGGAGCCCAGAAATGGACACAGCACTGCAGATGGGGCCTCACTAGGGCAGAGTAGAGGGGAAGGAGAACCTCCCTCGACCTGCTGGCCACACTCCTCCTAATGCACCCCAGGATCCCATTGGCCTTCTTGGCAGCCAGGGCACACTCCTGGCTCATGGTTAACCTGTCGTCCACCAGGACACCCAGGTCCCTCTCCACAGAGCTGCTCTCTAGCAGGTCCACCCCAAGCCTGTACTGATACATGGGATTGGTCCTCCCCAGGTGCAGAACCCTGCACTTACGAAAGAGTAAAGGAAGAGTTTAAGTAAGAATTCATTTAGAGCTGTCACGATGACCAGCTGCAGAACAGTGGCATTAAGAGCTATCAGGTAAGACCTTTTCATTGCTTGATCAGCCTTGCAGCCCAGCTCTGTAAACATGCTTAAGAGCTGGCTGTTAAACACACAGCTTGTAAGCCTGCATGTATGGGAACAAGGACACCAAGTCAGTCAGACTGCATATAGAAAGGTCTTAAGCACCAGTGCTTGGAACAGAACGAGCAAACTGCACTACCCTATCTCAATGCTGTGCCTCAACCTGACTGCAAGCCAACTTGCTCACCAAGCAGCCAAATTCTGGCAAGGTAAGGAAAATGCAACTTGTCTTGATCGATTCCTCCAGGCTCCACAGTCCACTGAACCATAGTCCATGTGTCAGCACAACTAACAAAGTAGCCCATGCTCCTCATGGGTTAAGTGTCAACCCCCTATGTGAGAGGAAAGGACAAACATAATGTTAAAGCAGTCTGAGCTCAAGATTTCAAGAGACAGCAATGCCAGTACTAAGCACTATAAATCCCAGATGCATTTAGCTATGGCAATATTTACATTCCTTAGGGTAGGAAGCTATGAGAAGAAAAGAGATGTAGGAAAATCTTTGCTTAGGATTCAGTAAAACACACAATGTCTCTTTCAGCTTCATTGATCAGAAACAGATGAGAAACTGGTACCAAACGTCTGTGCATAAACCAGTGACAACCTGCAAAAAACACTGCAAACGAACTCAACAACTAGCATGCAAAATAAGCTTTATTCTGCTCCCCAGTTAAGCCAACATTGTGTATGGCCTGAATAATGGGAATGATCTTGGTTATTTCCTATTCTAGAGAAACAGATGCATCAGTGGCTGTTTTCACAGCATTTTCTTAAAAAAACAAAAAACCAAACCCATTTATGCATTTTTTTTCCAGTAAGCTCTCCCCACCCTACCCCCCCAAAAAAGAACATAAAAATTGTTTGGTCATGATTAATTTTGCAAGTACAGGCTTCCTTAAGGTACATTAATACTGCGAGTTAACCTACTCCACTTAAAAAACAAACCACAAAGCAATAATCATAGAATCATAGAAAGAATCATACATAATACTCTATAGGGGGGGAAAATGATGTAAAAATAATTCTCTACTCGTATATGCTTGTCTAGCATAAAAGACTTCTCAGGTTAAAAAATATTTCTAAATTGGTAACAGCTGAAAGCATATATTCTCACAGAAAAAAAGAAACAAGGAAAAAACCACTAATACCGAAGGCACATTAACAAAGTGAGGTTTGGAAAGCAGTAAAACCCACCTACTAAGATGTTAGAACTAGGAACTTAATCAGGTCTCTTGCTTCCTACCACAGCCAGGCTTTATGGGCCACAACATGGCAAAAAAAGGCGTCTATATGCTAAGCTAGTCCAAAGTTTCCCACCTTGCTACTAGCTCTGGAATCTCTTGAGTACTCTAAGCACTAGGCTTTCCTCACCTTTAACCATGACCTGTCCTTAATGGCAAATCATTGCTTACAAAACCATCTTGCCACTACACAGAGGCAAGTTTTTGTGTAGCAAGATTCTGATCAGCAAACGTCCGACAAAGAGCTGAGCAGCTTTGCTGCAGAAATAAACCTTCCTCCACACAAAAAACACTCCTCTAAATCAGGAGACTGCAGCACACAACACCCATGATAAAGAGGCAGCACAACCAGAATTTAAGCCAGAATACCATGGCACTGTGGTAACACCAAAAGCCAAAGCCTGAGTAGCCGCATAGGGAATGCCGTCTCTGTTGTAGGTAGAGGGACAGTGGCTCTGACTGCCAGTGTCAAAACAAGCAACTTTCAAGGAGCTATTTACAGCAACTGATGTGGGCAGCAATGTTAAGTCCCACACTGCTAGGCAGCATTGCTTTATCGCACTGCCCACAGAACTGTGCCGAGGGGCCAGACTGAGCAAGGCCACCGGAGGCCACTGCCACTTGCAGCTTCTTGTTCAGTTCTCACCTATCCCTAGACTGCTGCCTAATTACTCATTGGCATTCTCTTTAAAACTGAAGTTTAAAATATTTTTTTTTTCTCATTTTCCAAAGCCAGCCAGGTTTTTCATAGCAGCATCTTGACAACACTTCGCGAGGGATGACTCATTGGTCCCGGAATATTTGAAGGCCGTGTTCCAAACTCCAGACGTTTCACTAACCTGCAGATACAAAATAAAAGTTAGTGCATTTCTTGCTCAGATTTACTGTCTTCAGAGTAACCAGTCACTTCCAGAGTACACCACTCAGCCTGAGAAATCAACAGATAAAAGATTATCACTCTCAGCACTAAGTGAGCATGTTACTTCACTCAGCTGAGTTTCCATTGTAACACAGAGCTCCGTTTCCCTCTGAGTAGTGAGAGGCTATCTTTTACAGGTGTTGGAATTTCAGTTCTAGCATTACAGCAGTAGGTGTATAATCAGCTGCACACATATGCAAATGTATGGTCCTTGAGGCTTTCTTGTAGGAGCTTTCATGAGGATTCTCTCAAAGTTGGAATAGCAAGTATGATGTGGAGCACTCCTTCCACACAACAACTTTGGGCACTGGGTAACAGGACAAATGAGTGATTGCAGCACTAGGGTCTAGCTGAACAATTAAGTCAAAATAAACTGTACTGTACGCACTTAATTTACAGAGAACCTGAAGAATGTGAAGTAAAAGATTGGCCAGGTCTAAGCAGAAACTGAACAGCAACTTGCGATACCCTTGCTGATTTTTCTTCATTTGTTTAGAAAAAGACAATCATTTCAAGTGGTGAGACAAATTTGTAAGTTGAGTCACCAGAATCACAGAAAGTTCGGGGTAGGAAGGGACCTCTGTGGGTCATCTAGTCCAACCCTCCTGCCGAAGCAGGGTCACCTACAGCAGGCTGCACAGGACCTTGTCCAGGCAGGTCTGGAATATCTCCAGAGAAGGAGACTCCACAACCTCCCTGGGCAGCTTGGGCCAGTGCTCCGTCACCCTCAGAGGGAAGAAGTTCTTCCTCATGTTCAGACGGAACTTCCTCTGCTTCAGTTTGTGCCCATTACCCCTTGTCCTGTCACTGGGCACCACTGAAAAGAGTCTGGCCCCGTCCT